TAAATAAATACATGATTTTATAGATAGACTTTTAAATACACAGTGCCTTAACAAGATGCAGCCTAACCATTGCTGTGAATAGTAATATTATAGTTATAATATTATATAAAATTTTGAATTTATAATTATAATATATAAATAAATACATGATTTTATAGATAGACTTTTAAATGAAAAGAGTTAATCATATAATAATACATTATAATTACAAACTTATAATACTAATAGTATTATAATTAGAGATTAATGCAAATCATGAGTCCCAACTTCTAAAAATAATTGGAGTTCCAACTTACATTTAAAAACTAAAATCTCACGATTAAATATTGATATCTAGATTTGAAAACGAATTATATATTTTAATATAACCAATTTCTAAATCTAAATATTAACATTTAATAAAATAATTTTTTAAATTTTAAATTGAGTTTTAATTAAATAAAATAAAATAATTTAAAATTATGACTTCAATTTATTTTAAATTTCAGAACTGATATATACTTTTCTCTTATAATTATATCATTTTTATAGTTATATATTTAGGAAGTTTGAGATTCGATGGCATAACTTATGTATCCAAATGTCAAATTTACTGATATAAATTACAAGCTTTCCACCAATGACTTGTTGATCTGAATGGAGGGAGCACGGTTCTCTTTAAATAAGATTTCAAATTTGAGTATTATGAACAGAGAAATAAGCGTTTAGAGAGTTTCTCCCCTTATGACATCAACGTGATTTGATTTTGAATTAATCTAAATTCAATGTAATTACTAGATACTAAGAGATTAACACAAAAAAAAAAAAAATTACAAGCTTTCTCTATGGCTTCCTTTGGGAGTGTTGAGCTACGATGGGTTGTACTGTATGTAAGTTTCTTTGTCTTTTTATTTTTTACACTACAAAAATATATAAAATATTAATTAAAATTATTAAAAATATATAAAATATTAATTCAAATTAATTATTTTATAAAAAAAATTAAATTTTTATTAGATATTGGTAAAAAAAAGTGTTGTGTAGTTATCCTCAACAAAGTGTATATATATATACATAGAAAATAATTAGTATATTTTATTATTTAATAGACCCCACGATACTTACTAATTTAACTATGAAAATTTATAATTTTTAGTTTTTTTTTTTTTGGTTTTTAATTTAAATTTAAAAATAATAATTTTTTAGTAAATATATTACAAAATGTATTAAATCT